GAGTGGGAGGGAACAAGCTGTTTCCACTTCCTTCTCCTTCCGACCCAGCAGGGTGTGGGTGCAGCACAGAGCATCTCCTCCAGGCTCAACAAAATGACAGCTTGCTCAGGAGATGGTTCACACTTTGCTGGGCAAAGTGCTGCCCTGGGAGTAGAACTTCATCTGGGGAGGGGGAGTAGCTCTGCCTGCATGGTATCCAAGTGAAAATGAAGCAATTCCTTCCCTGTAAAAGACAGCAGCAGGATGCCCTGACTCTGCAGACAGCGTTGTTGTTTACAAGGAGAGACAACAGGATCAAGCACAGTTGTCAGAAGGATTTATGTGTTTATTAAACTACCTTATCACTGTCACAGGGAAAAGATAAATAAATCAGAAAAAACAAGGCTGTGGCCTTGTCCAGTCACTCCGTTTCTTCCTAGGAGCAAGGCAGTGCAGGGAACACACACAACAGGCATGAGAAACACTTGTGTAATCACCAGCGCCCGTGCTCCGCGAGACTGGGACGCATGCCCCTGTTCCCTACGTGTGTTCACGGAATCATGGAATGGTTTGGGTTGGAAGGGACCTTAAAGATAATTTAGTTCCAGCCCCCCTGCATGGGCAGGGACACCTCCCACTAGACCAGGTTGCTCAGAGCCCCATCCAACCTGGCTTTGAAAACTTCCAGGGATGGGGCAGCCACTGCTTCCTTGGCAACCTGTGCCAGTGTCTCATCATCCTCACAGGAAATAATTTCTTCCTAATGTCTAACCTAAATCTACCCTCTTCCATCTTAAAACTCTTTACCTCTCAAGCCTATCACTACATACCCTTATAAAAAGTCCCTCCCTCAGCCCTGGCTTCCACCTGTGCAGACAAAACCCACAGTGCCTCCTGGTGCTGTGGCTTACAGACAGGACATTGTCACCCAGCAAGAAGTCCCAACAAGGAAGTGAAAGAGGACAGCCTGGCTGGAAGAAGAACTGTGTACAAGAGCAGAACAGAGTGGGGCTTGATAGTCCACATTCCTGCCCTGCACCTGAGCAGTCCCTGCATGCAGTAAAACACTGTACGTGCTCTGGGCTCCCCGAGGCCAGACAAGCATTTGCTTTCATAAACACCTGCTTCAGAGGCTTAGAGGATACATTTCTGCAGGATTAGAGGTGGTGATGCTGAGCATGAGCATCAGAGCCAGGGGAGAGCCAAGCAGGGAAATCCATCTACTAATGAGTGACCCAAGAATCAGGAACCTGTAGGCACTGGGCTTCCCCTCCCCAGAAATGCCACTGCCTTGCAGTCACACCCGTCCCCAGGGAGGGACCTTCTTTGCAATGCCAGCAAGAGAAAGTTTGTGCTTTTCCAGCTCCTACCTCATACTCAATAGCAAGGTCTGTGTGATCATCAATGTCCACTTTGGCCATCAGCACCTTCCCCTCCTGCTTGGCCACCATCTTCTCTAACCTGGGGCCTAGGATCTTGCAGGGGCCACACCACCTGATGGAGAAAGAGAAGAGGGGGAGTTTGAGGCAGCAAGCACAGCAGTGGCTGGAGAAAGCTTGCTGGTATGCTAGTGCCTTTACCACCATCACTGTTCCACTTGAGAGCCAACCTGGAAACACATTCCCAAATCACAGCTTAGAAAAACATTTCTCTCACCAAAGGCACTGCCAAAGGGTTCTTTCTCTGCATATGTTTTGGTGGAGGGGCATTGAGTGGAAGGAGAGGTCACCATTCAGAATTTGTGGTACTTTTGATGTCATTTTCATCACACCACAGTCCACTTTGGCAGCCTTGGTGGTCATCCTGCCTCTTCTTCCTGGCTGTTCACGCAAAAAGGCATCACATCCATTCAAAGAGAGGGCACAGGCAGAGTTGTGGTCCCACTGACCACAGAGCACTCACTAGAGTGAGTGTCACTGCTGGGCATGGGGTCACAGCCCATGCTCGTTATCAGTTTATGCCAACTGTCAGGCCCTCAGACTTCCCCTCCACACCCACTGCAGGGTTTACAGAAATTCCCCTTTAGCTGCAAAAAGGCATCACATCCATTCAAAGAGAGACCACCCATTTCAAACCCAGGGGCAGGAAGAGCAGAGCCTGTGAGACACTGTACAGAGACAACATCTCCTGTATCCTCTAGCTGCACCAGTTAGGATGCTGTCAACTTACTCGTTTTGAGGGAAACAGGAGTTAAAGCTCTACATGCCCCTTCCTTTTACAATCGAAGTTCTAGTAAACTTTGCTTCTCCTCAGCCTCCCTCTGATTCAGGTTTCAGGTATTTGTTCCCTCCTTGGCTGATCGCTTTTAACGTTTGTGTGAGTTTGTCAGTTTGGTGTAAAGCAGTTTTTGGGCTGTTTCATACCCTGTTTGCCTCAAATCAGGTACAACAGGCTCACCTGACAGGACTGCAGGACGATAAAAATACTTGAGAAAGCAAAGATCCTCGGTATCATTAACCCAGCAGGTAAGAGCTAAGAATATTTTTATTGGCAGAAGGATGGCAAAGTTTTTACTGACAACAAGCGTTGCTGTTGGTCTCATGGGGCTGTTGTTAATGTACAAAGCTGTCAGGAGCCCTGGCTCCAGAGCACTCAGCCTGGAAGAGCTGGAAAGACACCACACGGTGGTGCAGGAGCCCACCAAGCACAGGGCCTTTCGTGGCTGTTAACATCGTGTAGTGTTTTTAAGAGGACATTTAACCCAGGAAGCTAAAAAAAGGAGATGTTGAAGCTTTTCCCTGAGGTGTCTTTTGCAGGATGATGCAACACCAGGGCCAGTGTGACACCTGAGTTGCCTGGGAGGTGCAGCTACACCACCCCAGGGAACACCTTCCTGGCACTTGTGTTCTACACTCCTGCAGGCAGTAGCTACACCCACAGTGGTACAACCTGATGGGTGAAACCTCTATGGATTGCACTGTAGGGGCAGAAGCACCCTTTAAGTCCAGACACTCAGCAGCAAGGGCCATGAGGGGAACCTACTGTGCGTGGAAGTCCACCACAACGGGCTTGGGGTTGTTGACCACCCGGTCCTGGAAGTCGCTGCCATCCTGCACATTGAAGGTGCTCCTGCAACTTGCTGAGGTGCTGAAGGTCCTGCCAGGAGGTGCTGGGGGAGCACGGGGTGCCAGAGAGCCCTGTGGGGGCAGTGTCTTGGAGGTGAGGGACAGCAGCCGCCGGACCACCAGCCTCTGGGCCATCTGTGGGGAGAGGAGGAGGAGGTAAGCCAGGTGGGTGCACCCCACAACTGGTCCCACTGCAGCAATGCCCTGCTTAGAGTCCCCTCAGCCCCCAAGCCAGGAGGTGCCCTAGACAGAAGCACACACAGCATCGCACAGCAGCCCTTCCTACACCCAGCCCTTGCCACCCCACCGCAGCTCCAGCCCCACAGCCACGGAGCCCCCAGCTCCAGACCTCAACCTCCTCCCCATTTTCCACGGGGCTCAGGCCACCTCAACCCAGGCTCGGGGGTCCCCGCTTCCCCCAGCCGCGCAGAGCACAGCCCTCCCTTCCCACCAGCAGGGCAGAGCCCCAGCCACGGGACCCCTGGATGGAGCACAACTGCTTCAGCCAGAAAGCCCCCAGCAGCTCCATC